GGGGGGTTGGCGAAAGATGTATTCCTCCTCTCGGATGCAACTGTGGATGTAAAAGCTCGAACTGCACAGGAGAAGCACAGGGACTAATTGTGTAATCAGTAGCACATCACGATTCAACGAATTCGAAGGTAGTGAAGATGAGGAGTTCGATTTCCGCCTGGTTTATATCTTTAGCAGAAAAGGCTCCATTCGTGATGTACTGTGTCTGGACGCCGGTGGATCATCGGAGCTTGTGTGTGGGTATGACAGTGTCCCCCAAATAAGTTTGAATTTGGTGTTCTCTCGCACATACTTACTGATTAATATATACGCTTTTGTAAATGTGAAGAGCTTTCAAGCATAATTTTAGCTGGATTTGATTATTTACAGGATGCTGGTGGTGAGCTAGTCGAGAAGTATGAAATTTCACCGATGCCCCAGCGACGATCCATTTTGGTTGATCTTTCGCAAAATTTTGGTGTCGATCATGCAGTGCTGAAACGAACCATTGAACTTTATCAAAAGGTTTCAGAAGCTTTTCTTGAACTTTTTTTTTCTTGTAGGATCAACGTCAGTGATTAGTGAAATGTTATCAGACGTATGTTTTCTAGATGAATGCACAAAAATTGGTTGTGCTTTGTCATGATCGTCTTTTAGTCCTCCTGTATGCTTAGCTAATGCATCAAAGCATGGCCATCCCGAAGATTAAATTTGAAGCTGAAGTCATAGGTCGATGGGTACTAAAATTTGGAAGATGTTACCAGATAAGTCACTTCATAAGTTACGGAGAAAAAGAGTGAAGTAAAAAAATTTTTCAAAAATCCGAATTTGTAAAACTTGGCCCCTTTTGGAGTAATAAAACTAGCTCAGGGCCGGATTTGCGGTTGTAGATCTGGAACACGGTAAACTTTCGTAGCAAGGTTTGAGTTTTTATTCGACCTACATCATACAAATAGTAATAAATGGCAACGCGCATCAGACTAGTCGGTGCGATCATGCGTTTTGTGCAATTCAGCCCATCGAACAATTGCCTGTTAATGGTTTTCACTTCCTTGTACTTTAGC